ACTGCCCAAATACATGCCATACTACTCGCCCAGACCAGCCCGCTACTGATAGGCCTATTTACCCACAGCTATCAAGCGGACCCATTCTTCACCGGAGGAAATTCGAAGCAGTTCGCAGCAGCAAAAGGCGTTTATTACGTAAAAGCCGGCACCGATCGCATCTGGATACCGGGCTACACTTACTAAGGGAGCAGGGACACGACGACGTTACCTCAGGTCACTTTGGGGTAGAAAAGACACGGCAGGAGCTGCAGCGGTACTATTACTAGCCCGAAATGTTGACCGACGTACAGCGACACGTGACATCGTGTCCCATCTGCCAACTCATGAAATCATCACGGAAGCGGGCGGCAGGACAGTTGCAGCCTATACCACCCCAGAGTGTGCTAGGCAACAGGTAATCATGGACTTTGTCACGGGGTTACCGGCTAGAGCAAACGGAAAGGACGCGATCTTGGTCATCGTCAATCGATTGGCGAAGATGGTGCATTTCGCAGCATGCAGGAAATCCATCTCAGCCGAAGAAATAGCTCGGCTCTTCATCGCCACCGTTGTTCGGCTACATGGGATACCAGCAGCAATCATTAGCGACAAAGACACGAAATTTACTAGCGGAACCTTTGGCAATAGTTCGACACGCGACTACAGTTCAGTTCTTCTTACCACCCCGAAACCGACGGACAGACAGAACGGACAAATCGGACCATGGAACAGCTCATCCGAGCCACGTGTGACGACCCAACCATGTGGGAAGAACAGCTGCTACTCATCGTATTCGCGTATAATAGTTCGCCATCTGCCACGACCCAATAGTCTTCGTTTTACCTGAATTACGAACAAGACCCCACTGTACCCATGATGCCGAATCCCAACAACCCAGTACCACGTGCACAGCAGTTTGCCAAGGTTTTACAAGCAGCATGGACCCGGGCAGCAGATGCAATTAAAAATCAAACGTCATTGTTAAGCGCAACGGCGACTGCCACCGCCGTCCCATTACTTTCCAGCCCGACGACATAGTGCTGTTCGACACCCAAAACCTCCACCTACCCATTACCCCAAAAATCTGCCCTCAATATTGCTGGCCATTCCGTATCAACCACATGATCACCCCCGTCACCGCCCACCTCCTCCTCCCTGCTGGCTGGTACGTCAGCCCGTCATTCCATGTCAGCCTGCTTCGGCCCTAAGTACCTTCCACAAGCCAACTACCTTGCCACCACCCAGTCAGCATGACACGACCACCCTCCAAGCCAATCATCACACCTAAGAAGATTCTGAGCCATCGGGTTCGTGACCGACGTGGAGCTCGCAAGATCGAGTTCCTGATTTGCTAGAAAGACCGCACACCGATCGAAGACAACTAGGTACCCCTGGACAAAATTGAAAACCACCCTGTCCTCACGGACTATCTGCGCAGCCGCAATTTCCGAGATGTAGACGCACTCCAGTAAGGAGGGTCTCCTTAGTGGGGGAGCTAGTATAAGGAAATTTCCATTTCCTTATGCTGCATCCCTGCTCAGCGCGTACATCACTATTCTCGCCACACTCAGCGACGTTACCACTCGCAACACTCGCCTTGACCATTTCCCGCCACCTCGCCCGTCGCAACCCAACCTCACGGCTTGGCTGGTAACCCGCGCTCCGGGCCTCTGCTTCGACACTTCCCAACCTTAGTCCCAACCTCAGTCACAGGCCCGTCACGCGTCAACCACAGTTCGTTACCGCTACCACTGTGGCCTTCGCTATTTAGTTCTCACTCATTCCTTCACTCATTGTACTGTTTGCTTCGATGGTGCTAGTGCAATTTTCACTTGCTCGCTCAATTATTCACCTGATGTTTATTATTCAACGTACTGCGACGCGTGCTGCAAGTAGAACTTGCTTCCCCCGCAGGTTCCATATGACATCCCCTCACTTGCCGTCACGGCGTGTGAAGCTCAACACGAATATATCGCCATGATGTTTTCACCACGCCTCGCAACCCACTTATGCCTGAGGCGCAGCGAATGCCCTTGAATCAACCCTTTGTGTACTAAGCCCGCAATAAGCTGGAGACCGCATCCCTGAGCCCTCCTCGTTCCTCCAGCGCCCTTCCTGTACTGGCTGGCAGGAAGTGGAAAGAGCATGTGATGAGGTGGGAGGGGAATGCAATGAGGTGGGAGGGAATGCAATGAGGTGGGAATAATGTGACGAGGTGGATGGGAAAGTGATGAGGTGGGAGAAATCTGATGAGGGAGGGAGGTAGAGGGCATATAATGAGAGGAAGGTGATTAATAGTTGTATCGCTTGTGGAGTTTACATGTAAGGGTTGAGTGCCTCCGCTGTGCCTCAGGTATACCCCTTTTTTTGAACAAGTAGGTAGCAAGGTGTTGTATTGGTATCAGAGCATAGGGTTCGATTCCCAGCTGGGTCACATTTTCTGTTGTGAGCATAAAGTTGAATGTCGTAACCTAGCTGCAAAGCAAACTCAGTGAAAGATCCGCCACTGGCTTGACCCAACAGCGAAGTCGCTGAAGAGCGAGATTGAGGTCCGTGGGTCCTTGCGTTGCGAGGGCCGACTCCCTGCCCAGCGAGGACGTTGGCTCCAGGGGGGGACGAGTGTAACGCCTAATGGGGCTTACACGCAAGGGTTGAGTGCCTCCGCTGCGCCTCAAATATAACCCTCGTGTTGACCCAGTGGGTAGTGAGGTGTTATTGATAAGATATGCGGGCGTATGCAATGAAATAAGTGTGTTACTCTATGCCCACCTCGTCCAATGGCTGCTCTTCTCTCCTCTCTGCCCCTCCCACCTTCCCCTCCCCCTGTCGCCAGCGAAAGCCCTGCTGGAATTTCAAAAGGCATGGAGCACAACATTTGACGGCTAGGTGGTTGGTGGCGACTGCAAAAATGCCAGCTGCGTCACGTGCAATGCCCAGGGCATGATTACGAAGATGTGAGTACACCCTCATGGACCCTCATGGACTTCCATGGACCCCCATGGACCCAAATGGACCCAAATGGACCCAAATAGACTCCGATGCTTCTCATGCACGGGGACCGCGATGCTTCAGGCGACGTGAGCCAAAGCTCTGTGAGTGATATGAAAAGCCATCAGAGTGGACCCACATGGATCCTGATGCGTGAAAAGAGCCATGAGAGTGGACCACCGCTCCATGTTGCCTCTTTCCCCCCTCAACACTCCTCCTTCTTACCTCCGTTTTAAAAAAAGGAGAGCAGCAAGACACTAATTGCCTGCTTTCCTAAAAAAACATGGCATGTGGCTCAAGAAAAAACTAGAGGCAGGCTGTGACTCGCACACCCATGTCACATGCACGCATGCATCGCATCACGTGCATCCATGCTGCACACGCATGTCACATGCATGTTCTCCCTCCATTACTGATGCAAATGGCCTCTCCTCCATTCCAATGTCCGCTCGTCAGGGTTATCTCTCGTGGGAACCCTAATGGGGCCATCCCCAGCTCTATTAGCAACCTGCAAAGCCTTATATACTTGTGAGTGCTGTGCTTATCCTCCTTCGAGAGACTGTTAACATGTGATGCGAGGCACTCAAATGGAGACATGTGAGGTACTTACACCTTGTGAGTGCCGTGCCTACCTCCTGAACCTGGGGTATTTCTGGTTCCGAGGCACAACAAAAAAGAACGTGTTACCTTTTCAAACCTACCATGATGTCGTTTCATTCGAAGTTTCATTTAGTTGCTAACGTGCTCGCTACACAGCCTTCAGTCTCTCCTTTCCTACAACCCTCCCTCCTTTTCTCGAATGCAGATTAGGCATGATCATTCGGCCCGACCAACCCGACCCGACCCGACTCGACCCGACTTGGGCGGGCCAGCCGGGTTCCGGGTCGGGTCAGGTCGGGTCGGGTCGGGATTTCAAAGAATCCTGGCCCAACCCGGGTATCGGGTGCGGGGTCAGGCGTGACCCGCCCCCGGGTCCGGTCGGGTAGGGGCCGGGTCGGGTCGGGTCGGGCCAGACCCCCGTATGCAGGGTAAGAGGTTCTTCTTACTACTGTGCTGTGCTGCATTGATTGAATATCTGTGTAATATTACTGTATGAACGTCCTCCATTTTGTAAATAAACTATTCAAAGTTGCTTAAACTGTTACACGTGTTTGGAAAAATGCTACAACGGCCTAAACACTATCGGAGTCACCTAGTAGTTCGAGGTACGGGAACAAGAACCAATTAAGTTTAGGTCCGATCACGTGTTCTGTTGTAGTTTAGGGTATAAGCATCAATCAGGAACAAATATCACAACCCCCTCGATTCATCCTCCACTCCCAGGGAAGGATTTGCCGTTGAGGTGCCCTTGGGAGCGAGAGTCCCCAAAGGGTGGTGGTCCTGCCACGTCTTAATCAGCATGGAAGCACGCAATTGGCCAGCTGCTAGTCGGTGTTGCTGCCAAGTAATGATGTTCCTGCTTTGTGAGAATGTGCACTCACTCGCTGCTGACGAAGCCGGTACCCCCAAATAATCGCGAGCCATCGCCCTCAAGCCCTTTAGGGTCTCCCTACTGCGCCAATACTCCAATGCGCTTCCACCCTTTTGCCTCCCCTCTGCAAGGTACTGATCCATCTCATCCTGTGGATCCTCCCCCTCTTCGGCCTCCATGGCGTCCCACACTGTGAACAACTGAGACTGGATGCTGACCTTTGCCGATGCATCCACAGCCCCGCCCCCTGCCGACGCATGCACCCCTGCACCCCTCGCACTAGTCACCTCCCCATCATCGCCATGTGCCATGGTGCTGGCTGCCTGGTACTCTAGAAGGCGCGCCCGTACCAGGGCCTTCACCCTATCAGGGCCTAGCTCCAGTGTTGCCCCTCTCGAATTCCTCTCCGCTGCCCTTGCTCAGTGCTTGAAGGGTGCAAGCTTCTGGCGCGGGTCCAAGAAATCGCTGCCTCCTCGCTCACACCCCCTATGTGTCGCCCCAGCTTTCTCAGAGCAGCAGTGATCAGCGATGAGCGCAGAGGGGAGATGCCAGGAGTGAGTTATGCCTTCTCCTGCAGATCAATCAGCGCATTGCACTGCGGTACAACGGCTGAGAGGGTAGGGTACAGGGAACCCTCGGCGAAGAGGGTGACTTGCTCAAATGGGGTGAGGAAGTCTCGGAGCTCAGCGAGGTCGTCCCAGCGTGCATCCGTCAACCTGATGGCGTCCCATGCCTTCCGACTCTCCTTGCTGATGGATGGCTGGAATGGGTCACATGGGTTGTAAAGATGGAGGTATGGCAATGACTTTTGGGTATGGCAATGAACAAGACATAAAGCACCATCCAAGAATCGATGTACTGACGCGCACTTCGTTACAGTCACATGGCTACGCAAAAAACAACATGCTTCACTAGTCAAACCATGCCTACATACCCCCATTTGCCATTGTCACACGCCCATGTTAATCCTACAATACGTACATCGGAATCGTCGAAAAACATGGCAATAGGCATGCGCAGCTCGAAGCCCCTGTTCACCATGTTGAGTGTAGAACCCCATCTCGTCGGCGAGTCCACGATCAAGCACAACGGACCCGATGCTCGCCGCAAACCCGGAGGACCCTGGGGCCGGGTTGCCGCATATCCCCTATGGAGCTCGAAGAAACAATCTGTGGGCAGCGTGGACCAGCCAATGTAGTTCGCCACATCTCGCAGCCTCTTGAGTGGCTCGGCCACCTCGTCAACCTTCAGTGCAGCCTGCACTGCAAGGTTGACGACGTGCGCCACGCACCTGTTGGGGCAATGCATTGTGCAGCGTGGGTTTAGTGTCAATGTACCACATAAGCACTGCAATAACAACCATGGTCTGCAACGCCACCAGTATATAGCATACCCTTACGGAGACGGCCCAATAGTACGTCAAGTGCCTCCAGCGACTAAGCAGTGGTGGGTGCCTAGGCCGTGAGCCCGGCCTGGCGTCAGGTACACCAGCCAGCAGACGCATCGCCCTGATGTTGTTCTCAGCGTTGTCACACGTCACGGCGAACAGCATCTTCTCCAAGCCCCACTCCCTCAACCCCTCCTCCAGCTCATCGGCTATCAAGTCCCCCGTATGACAGCCCTTCAGCTCCCTGAAGTCTATAACAGCCTGTTTCAGCTGGAAATTGCTGGCGACATCGTGGGCAGTCACCCCCATGAAGGCCACGTTATTCTCACCGGTCCAGATGTCAAAGGTGAGGGACATTCTTCCCGCCAGGCCATCACCCACCAATAGCTGCTGCATGTCCTCCCTAGCAGCCTCCCCGTATGCCTGCATGCCCCGTGCCAAGCGATTGCGTGAGCCGAGCAGTAGCGCAGCTCCTGGGTTCAGCATCTGGACAAATACCTTATACTGTACATGCAAATACAAACGCATGAATGGTGGTGTGGATGTCGGTAAAAGGATTATGAAGAAGCATCAAGAAAGCCTATGGAATGCAGTGCGCCTACACAAATATGACCACGTCAATACGAAAATGAGCATGAACAACGAAAGGATTATGGCGTCACTCACCTCGCGACACTCAACAAGTCGAAACGGAAGGTCGGCTGCCGCAAATAGCTGCACCAACCCCTCATGCAGCTGCTGGCCATGAACACGTGGCATGACGAATGCGCCCATGTTCATCTGCCTACTCCCACCAGCCGCAATGCCGCCAGTCACTGCGCTGGCGGGCGTACCCTCGGGTGTCTGTACAATCGTGGGCCACGTGGTGGCATGCTCCCAAGGCCACGCTGTGGGGTCGGGGACATCCGGACCCCATCCCCCATCGGGAAACGTCAGGTTCTCTGGCTTGTTTGGATCCTTGAAACGCCGACACCAAATCTGCGGACTGGGGTAGTGGCTCCTCTTGAGGTATCTCTTCCGCGCACTCGTCCTACTCCTTTTCCAGCTAATCTTCGTTCGGCAAATCTTGCAAGCCTAAGCATCATTCACCTTCTCACCAAACATGCCACGAACCAACCCGGTCTCTGCATTACTTGTCAACGAGAGTATTGTATGGCCCCGTCCTCGCTTGGGCGGAGCCGACCTCGTGGTCGGATGTTTGGGGGTTGCAGCCGACCTTCAACAGTGGGCACGCGGGCCACTGCAAGGGCGCCAAGCTAGAGGGCGCCTGGATGGAGGGCGCCGAGCAGGAGGACGCCGTCTTGGACGCCTGGTTGGCATCCTAGATGCCTGGACGACGTCCTGCGAAGCTGGACGCCGAGCTGGGCGTTGCCACGACTACCCGGGCGCCTGGTCGATGTCGTGGGCGCCTCCACGGCGTCCTGGAAGGCCAGACGCCAACCTAGGCGTCTGTACGGCGTCCTAGGAGCCTGGGACGCCGCCCTGGGCGTTTGCACGGCGTCGTGGGCGCTTAGACACCGATCTGGGCGTCCTGGGGGCTCGGACGCTGACCTGGGGGTCTGGTCGGCGTCCTGGGAGGCTGGACGCTGCTCTAGAGGTCTGCACAGCGTCCTGGGGATCTGGACGCCGACCTGGGGGTTCGGAAGGCGTCCTGGGCGCCTGGACGCCGGACTGGGGACGTCGGGCATTGGTGGCCGGCTACGGGCTGCGCTGGTTGACCGGGCGTGGTTGCCCGGTCGATTGGGATACCCGGGCGACGTGCGCGAGTGTCGCCGGGGTGGAGTCTGCGAGGCCGACCTCGGGGGTGGTATCCCGAGGTCGACGTGGCTGGTGGGCGCAGTCATTGGCGTGGAGTCTGCCACGAATCTGCGCTGTGCTCGTGACAAGGTGTGAAGCACCAACCAGTTGCACGCACATGCAAAGAAGTTGCACCGTTGTCCTGCGGGTGCAACACTGTACAGCCGACTTGCTGCAGCGTTGGCACACCGTGGACTTGCAACGTTGGCGAATCGCTACTCAGCAACGCTGGAGCGGTGCGAGCGCTGCTGTGCTGGAGCGCGGTCGACCATGCTGCGCTGGAGGTCGACCAGCAGCCTAGCTAGCTCTGATGTAGTCTGTGACGCCAATGTTGTTGCGACCATTGTTCTAAACTTTTCCTAGTGGAACTCTTGCCAACTTTCCCTGTGAACTAGCAAGTATGTGCGCACAAGGAAACGACTAAGGAACGAACGAACGCAGAGATCACACGAGCACACGTGCAAAGCCCTTAATCTAGAACCCGTTGCAGCACTTATCTCCGCATGGTGCGGTGAGGGTGGATGACACCGCAACGTAGTTCAGTCTAGCCGACTTAGCACTTACTGATCGTGTTCGTAGACCAGCAGCCATGCAGTTACTAGCGTGCGCGTAGGCGACGCCGAGGTGAGGACACCCTGGAGGGACGGCTGGAGGATGCGAGGAGACGCCATGAGGCCCAGGAGTACGAGGCGATACCCTGGGCAGTCGTCGAGGCAGGACTCCGCTCCATGTGGGCGACGGAGCACCCCCCTTCTCGGCTTGCCTCTCCTCGACCGGTGAACGACGATGGCGGCCTCGACCTGGGCGTCAACGCCGGTGGAGGCCAGGTCGGCAGCAGTGCGGGAGGCACGTCAAGGCAGCGAGGTGTGATACACGCTGGTGAAGCTGGCGGCGTTCAGGCGCGAGGGATGCAGTCGTCGGCGGCTGCAGGCTCCTTGCAAGGTGACGCCGGTGGGCGTCGAAGTGGATTGTCGCCGATTTCGGCGACCCTGGTAACGGCGGGCGGGATTGCACCAAGCTACGGCTACTTCAAGTTTGCGCCGGACAAGATCTTGGTCACCCCGCCGCTCGTTGGTCGACAGGACATTCTCACCTGGAAGGAAGCCATCGAGCCCCACCTGGGGATGGCTGGGCTGATCGGCTTCGCCCAAGGGACCGTGGCGACACCGGAGGAGCACCACCCCGACTTGCGTGCGGAGTTTCGCGCCGTGCAGCTGTTGACCTTCATGGTCATTTCGCGGTGCTGCTCGCCGGGCGTGCAAATCGCTCTGAAGTGGTGCCGAGAGTACCTCGACGCCGGTCACCGGGCGTGGCACTTCATCGAGTCGACCTACCAAGTCACCGACGACCGGTACATTGCCCCGCTGGAGGGACAGCTGACGCACCTGCGCATGGGCGACGAGGAGACGGCGACCGACTACTGCAACCGGGCCCGGCGAATTCTCGCCACCATCAGGATGGCCAGCACGCAGTACTCAATGACGTCGTACGTCACCCACGTCATGCAAGGGCTCTTGAGCAGCTACGACCTCCCGAAGCGGCTGTCCATGGCGCCGAGCATGAGGATGATGCTCAACGAGGATAACCTAACCTCGTATATCCTGCGGGATTAGGCGATGCAGGAGGCTGAGCGATCCCAGGAGCTCTTGGCGCAGGCCAACTTCGTCGCCCCGGCAAAGCAAGGAGGCCGACCAGGGCAGCATGGGCAGTCGGGCGGTGTAAGTAGCAGTGGCTGGAAGCTGAGCAAGGACGCCGACAAGAAGAAGTCGGCTAAGGATAGTGGTCGTGGAGGCGGAGGCCGACGCCGGGAATGCTGGCTGTGCGGCGACCCCAACCACCTCTCATTCGAGTGCCCCGACCGTAGTGACTCCGATGACGACGACACCAAGGGAGGCCGAGGAAAATCTGGCAGCCGCCGTCCTCATCGAGGTGGAAGCAAGCCGCGCAAGGCGAAGCAATCGACCAATTTGACCTCCGCGAAGGACGCCGACTCCTCTGCTGGCGGCAAGGCGAAGGACAACAAGACGACGTCGTGCTCGTTGGTAGGCGTCGTGGAACCGACTGTCTCGCTGGCGCCGGAGGCCGGTGAGGACTTCCAGGCGGTGGCGGCAGCGGTGCAGGCAAACCCAGCGGTGGTCCTGCTTGACAGCGGTTGCTCGCACCACCTGATGGAAACGCAGGAGGCCTTCGTCAACCTGGGGCCGAGCGGCGACGTAAAGCACGTTTGCGGCTTCAATGGGGCGCTGCAGGACGTTCAGGGCCGCAGCATTGTCGCCCTGAAAGGGGAGGCCAGGAAGCAGGTGCTCATCCCCGACGTGCTGTACGTACCAGGCGTCCGGGCAAACCTGCTTTCAGCCGGCCAGCTGAAGGAGCACGGCGTGAAGCTGCATGGGGACGGCGACGGGATGGTGCTCGTCTCGGCAGCAGGGGAGGTGCTTGGTCGGGCAACGTACACCAGGCGTGTCCTCTGCACCGACTTGCGCCCCTGCTTGGCCAAGCCGACGACGCCCACTACGGAGATAGTGGCCCTGCGCGCGATCGTCTCGGTGACGAAGGCAACGCCGGACAAAATGCACGCAATGCTTGCGCACGTCAGCATGGACACCATCCTGAGCTCGGCGAAGCACGAGGTCGCCATCGAGCTGGACCTTAAGTCGGCATCCGGCGCCGACTCCCCGTGTGTTTCGTGCGTCAGCGGGAAGCTAACACGGTACACCTTCCCCGACAAAGGCTCTGACGCCGACAACGTGCTGGCCGTTGTATACATCAACCTGTGCGGGCCGTTTCGCGTGGCTACCAAGGATGGCAGCCTGTACTTCTTGCTGCTGAAGGACCGCAAGACCCGCTACGTGTGGGTGAGGCCGGTCGCCAAGAAGTCTGATGTGTTGCGGGAGTTCGTGCAGTGGCTGGCGGCGGCTGAGAGATAGACGAAGTAGTCGGTGTTGATGCTGCGCTCTGACCGGGGAGGGGAGTTCCTCGGGAAGCAGTTCACCGACTTCGTGAACGGCAAGGGGATCGTCCACGACCTGACCTGCTCGTACACCCCGCAGCAGAACGGCATGGCGGAGCGGGAGATGAGGACGGTGGTGGAGTCGGTGCGGACGATGCTGCTGCACATGGGCGTGCAGCACCACTGGTGGTACCTCGCTCTCCGGCAGGCCGTCTGGATCCGCAAATGCCTTGAGAGGTGGGCGCTGCCGCCGGAGACAACGCCGTACCAGCTGCTGACCGAGAAGAAGCCCGACTTGTCGCTGGCACGGGTGTGGGGCTGCATGGCGCACTTCTTGGTCCCCGAGCAGCTGCGTGGTGGGAAGCTGCAACCAAAGGCCCGGTGGGGCCTTCACCTCGGCGTGTCGGAGGAGAGCAAGGGCTGGGAGCTCCTCGACATCGCTGACAACTGGGTGGTCACCACGTCGGACGTGGTGTTCTACGAGAGCATGTCGCTGGAAGTGTGGAAGTCGGCGAACGGGCCGGCGTCAAGGCGGATGCCGGTTCCCCCGCCAACGGACACCTCGGCTGCGACGCTGCCTCTGCTCGCCAAGGTCGTTCAGCTTGCTGGTGAGGACGCCGAGGCCGTCCTCGCTTCCTTTCCTCCACCTGCCACTCCCCCTGTTGCCGACTTGCCTGGGCTGGCCTCAACGTCGGCCTCCGGCGATGAGGGGAGAAATGGGGCGTCACCTGTGGCGCCG